CACATTGTAAGTGCTTAAAGAATATTAGCTGCAAATATTATCATCATTACTACTTTGACAAATGTGTAGACCATTCTAGTCCAGCATTATAAGCATATATGTGACTATATACGGAATGCAGCAGGAACTCCAAAAAAATACTGAGCCTAGAGAAATTAGAGGAAGTTTCTTAGTGAAGGTATACTTGGCGTGGACTTTGAACATTTCTTAGGAGTCACCAGAATGACCAGCACGGGAAAGGCGTTCGTGGCAGAGAGCAAGGGGAGGAGGGAAGAAGCGATCAGGACACTTGAAGAGTCCAATAAGCCAGCGTCCTGCAGTGGACGTTTTGGGGAAGTTTGGGAGTAGCAGGGAGCAGTGAAAGGTGCACTCGCAAAGGTGGGCAAAGGCATTCTTTGCCTTTCATGCTACAGAATTCAAATTTTATCTAACTGGTGACATTGAGCCTTTGAAAGATTTTAGAGTTAATGACATCAAACTAGCTTTTTGGCAACTGAATGGACACTGGAGGAAGAGAAGGGTCTAGAAGCAGGAAGACAATTTAGAAGGCTGCTACAGTGGGTCCTGGTAGAGCCTCAGCTCAGGCAGAAGCAATCGTGATGGAGGGGACAAGATGCAGTCAAGGCTGGCTGACAGCACATGGGGAGAGGGGAGGGACACAGGTGCCTGGAAAGGCAGATGGAGCAGTACATGCCGAGTGAGGAGGCAACATTATGCTGGCTACTTAGAGAAGCCCTTGGAGCTTCAGTTTCTCATCTAAGTAGTGATGACAACTACCTCTCAAGGTGGGCATGTGCGATCTTTGGCTACCCAGCATCCAGTCCCCCTTCTTTGAGTGATAACAGCCTGATTTTCTTTGGGGAATGATCTCTGCTTATTGGAAACACTCAGGTGGGCCTTTTAGCTGGAGTGCCCGTCCCTTTTCTAGCTAAGGGCTGATATATGATGCCAGCTTTGCCAATTTGATCCCCTTCATGTCTAGAATTTGAGTCATGAGCAAAAGCAATGCAAGAGTGCAAATGGAGCTCGCGCATTCCAGAGATAGTGTCTTGATGCAAATTTTAAGCAGCTCCTGACCCCAAGACCGTCTGGAGCTCCTGGGTGCCTATATGTGGTCCTCTGACTTTCTTTCCCTACTGAGACTTCCCCCACCCCCTTCCAGTAAATTCCCTTCAGCTTAAATTAGCTCGAGGTGGTTTCTGTCATTCCCACCTATGAATTCTGATATATTGAGATACTATTTAGTGTGCAGCTCACAATGGACACTTCACAAATCCGAGTTCCTACCCTCTTCTTGTAGAAAGCCCACATGTGTGTGTTCAGCAGTCAGGACTGGAGTTTGAGAGAGAAGACTGGCTTAGGAATGTGGATTCAGGAGTGATTGACGTGGAGATTACACGTGTAGAGATTGTCCGGCAGGAATGTGAAGAACGAGTCGTGGCGAGGGCTGGGGGTAGACCTCAGGGAGGACGTTCCTGTCAGAGTAAATCCTGCCACTGGCCCCTGAGCAGGTCTAGAATCTGGTGCCCAGAGTGTGGGTCTGTTACAGAACGGAGTGTGAACTAGGCCTTGTTATGGCTAGGGCCATCACTTGGCAATTTGGGGGAAAAAAAAAATAAGGGCGGGGAGGCACTTTCTAATATCACCTCCAAGATTTCAGGGCAAGTTATCAAAAGTAGAAAAGTGAGATCAACTTTCCAGAGCAGAGTCCAAGGCATTGCCTCCTTGAATATACCAGAAAGGGATTGAATTGTGCTCTCATTTTATTATTCAATAATTAGAAGGCATCCTATATGATGTTATTTTTATAAGATGGTTAATAATCCCCAAAGCTTTCTCCTTACAGCATGGGTCATTTCAGCACCTCTCACAGGAATGCACCCCTTTTATCTTTCGAGGCTGCTGCTCCTAACAGATCTTCCTGCCCACCACTGCCTGCCTAGGTGACCTGCCATCCCTCCTCTCTGTCCAGTCTACTACAGCACCAAGTGTACTCTTCAATAAATACCTGGTGACCAGTATAAGAGAGGTGAACAACAACTGTTGATTTAGACAAGTTTAGGATAAACATAATAATTTTATAGAAATTATCTTCATTCAGTGGTTAAAACTCCTGCTGTCAACTTGACTAAAACTTTTAGGAAAATGTCTTCTGTTATTAACAGCTTCGTATAAATATTAGAAGCCATTTAACTTCCATGCTAAAGACAGTGGATTACCTCTGAGTGTCAATACCCAATTGTCAGAAGAAAAAAATGTGATTGGTCAGGGTGGATCTAAAGGGGCCCAGTAATTGACACCCCGCTTCATTGCCTGAGGTGTGAACCAAATGAGGAAAGAGTCATTAGGTAAAGAACCAAAAGATCCCCCTTATCATTAAGAAAGCTGATATTGGAGGATGAGGCTTGGGTCTGAGCAGAGGGGGACAGTGCACCCACAGTGTGTTTGAGTCTTCAGGGCACCTCCTTCACCCAAGTTGCTTCCTGCATTCTGCCCAATGGCGAAGGAAGGTAAGAAGACCACATGGTGAACTGTTAGTCTATGGTGGAACAATTCATTCCTCACTATATCCTTCTTCTCCTTCCTTCCTAAAATATGTATGGTACAGGGGCAAAAGTCAAAGGAAGTAAAAGGGCAAAGGAAGGAAAGAGGTTTATTTCATGTACCTTAAGGTAACATGTTTTAAGATGATTATAATATTTCTGTTTTAACTAAAAATGACTCAAATTAATTTCAACTCTTAATTCAGGATCTGGATCGAAATCTGAGCAGACTCACAGCTTCGTTTGAAAAAGCAATAGCTGAGAAAGTCCGGTGTCAAGAAGAGGTGAATCAAACCAGCAAAACTATTGAACTAGCTAACAGACTGGTCAAGGAACTTGAGGCAAGTTAAAGCTTTTCTTGCAAAATTCTAGCTAAAATATTCTGATCACTGTTGTTGGATTTTGTCATTATTTACCATCAATAATAACTGAATGAACATGGAATTAACAAATGAGAATATTTACTCACCATTCATGCTGTGGGTCTAACTTAACAAAAGGAAGAAATGACCAATTATGGGTTTTTTAGAATAGCTATGAACTCACTGTGACATCAGCCTCATCTCAAACTAAAACAGGAAGGACATATACTTTGCCAGAATTTAGTTTTGTATACGCTTTAAGAAAATGGAGTACACCAGCTGTGGGTGGGCTACCTACTTATTTTTCCTCCCTCCCTTCTTCCCTTCCTGCCTTTATTATCACTTTGTTAAATTCTTAAAAAGCAAAAATAAAGCTTGTTTTTCTTAAGATATATTCTAAAACTTACAACAGCTGCTAGATAACTGCTATTAAACTGTTGTCTGATCTTTTTAATACACATTTGCCATTGAATTCTACCAGCAGACCATTCCTTTCAAGCTAAACCTGATTGGTTTATGTTTTTGTTGTTATGTCTTTTTATAGGCAAGTGACATGCTAATGTTAATAGTTATTCCATTAGATAAAGGGTTTTATAATTCTTATTTTTTTTTTTTTTAATTCTTATTAACTTTCTCCTGCTTGAACATAACTGGAGGATGTCCTTTGACATCAGTATTCACAGATTTTATTTGCTCTACCGTGTGGCATTAAACAGTTTTGGACAAATCTCTGCACCTCTTCAACTTTGTTTTCTTGTCTCTAACATGGGGGTATAGATAATAACTACCTTACAAGGTTATGATAATGTTCAAAAGATATAATGTGTGTTCAAGTGTTTCCTAACAAAAATCAAAGAGATAAATAAATAACCCAATTTAAAAATGGGCAAAGGGCCGGGCGTGGTGGCTCACGCCT